GGCAAATGTGTGGTGTAATGACAAGAACACTTCGCTGAGTAGAGGTGGCTTGGACCCCTGCATCAGAGAGACCCCTGATGGAGACAGGATGGCTCCCAAAGGTAATGGAGGCTACGTGCTGGAGAAACAAAGACTCTTCTCCCCCAGGCATGGGACATAAGTCATTTCCTTCAGTCTGATGGGCCTCTGTAGGTCATGTACTCACCAGTGCATCCATAGTAGTCACCAACAGAATGCCATGTATTGATTAGCTTAGACTAACCAGGATCTACCCTGGAGCGGGAAATGGTGTTACACTGGGAATGTCTGAGTCACACTGGTGAGGAATTGATCCCCCAAACTGGAATTTTGTTGAGAAGAAAGACTCAGGGACTAAATGTTGGATGAGATTGAGAATATCATTATGGCAACTACTTGACCATGTGTCCCTGGGAATATCCCTTTAACTCTTTAGGCCTCCGTGTCCTTGTCTGCAAACTGAAGAGGACAGAATCAAAAATATCAACATTCCATTTCTACTCTAACATGCTACGACTCTATTCAGCTAACACAAAACAAGAAACCCACATAGATAAGTATGGGGAGGAAGGGGAAATTGATGATGGTGGTAATTGCTCATGTTCAGTCCAAAGTTGCTTCACTTTGCAGGAGAGGTCTTGATAAGACACAGGTGTGTCCTACTTTTAGCAAGCCCAAACTCAGATCCTCAAAACACAAGTACTTAGGTGGGACTACACTTTCTACATTTGCTTTATGAACGGATTTGCAACATATCTCTTTCCTGTTTTCTAATTCTAAATATTGAAAGATTATGATGTCTTAAGTTTGAAGAGATTGCTCTTGCAATCTTTTGATGTTTCTTTGTGTTTTTTTGGAAGAATTCTGTTTCTCTACACTTGAAAGGGCATTTCATGCTGTCTTGTACAATGGGCATGGAAGCAACTAAGGAGGCATTCAAAGAAAGTGTGGGAAAACCAGGTTAACATGGCAAGCCCAGCTGAGCATAAATCAGTTTGGCATCCTTGTATGTTTTAATAGGTTTCCTTATCACTCTTAGACTCTAAGGGTTTCTCCTTTCTCTGATATTTATTCCTCTTCTTTGGCCAGCTCTAAAGTCATGGGAATGAGGGAGCAGAAAAGCAGAAATATGCACTGGTTCCACACCCAAAATTTCATCTCGAGATCTAGCAACTTCTAAAGCATAAAGACAAATCTAACTCTGCCAGCACCTCCCTCTCCCATAACAAAGCTCCAGTCTCCTCTCAGTTCCCTCCTGACTCTCACCTGAAATACTCTCTGCCTTGTGCTTCTCTTGGTACCTCTCACAGGACCGTAGTGTGCCAGAACTCTGTCGGCACCTGAGTTCATCTTTGACACAACCCCCCTCCCTTCTGCCTCCAGACCCAGCCCATGCACCCTGACCCTGGCCAGCTTAGTTCAGAGGTTGGCTGGGCCAGTCAAAACCACATCAAATAGCAGCTAAGGTTCCTTCCAGCTCAGAACTCTCTCCCCCGGCATGGCCATCCTCCCCACCTGGCATGTTAACTCCTTAAAGCTTAGGGCACTCCCAACAAATAAACTAACATGTTCTCTAGTGCCTCTGAGGATAAAGAATTCTTCTTCCTCTAGCAAAGCAGCCTCAGAGGAGAGAGTCAATGCATAAAACAATGAAAATAAAAGTAAATTGTGGAAATGGCTCGGATTTACTTTAAAAAATCAGATTTTAAATAGATTCCCACTTCAGTACAGTTTTAGAGTTCATAAAATGATGATCCCTGGGTCAAGTCCCTAAATGTGCTTTTTGGCAGTCAGTCAGTGTTCTTAAAATTGAGAGATTCATACAGATCCTAAGATATATCTTCCCTGAAAAAAACAAAAACAAAAAACATTCTGGCAACATTAGATCCAGATTCAGATTCATCTGACAACCATCAGGAGCAACTGGGTCAGTGTTACCCCTTGAGATCGGACTCCTGCCTCCCTCCAGGCCTACTGCCCCTCCTCCTGAATCCTGCCCATCCCCTCCTGACGCCTACCCCTGCCCAGACAGTGTGCGAGGCTGCACATCCTGGTTCACAGAGCACCGCAGCCCCACCACCACCACCCCTGCTGCATAATCTCATTTGGGATTCACACTGATTCTGTGCAACAGGCACGGCGAAGACGTTAGCTCTCCCCAGTTAAAACCAAAAATGAACGTAAGAGCTTTCCAAACTTCTTTATTAGAAGGTCATATTCTGCAGCATGTAAACAGTAAATTCTAGACAATGATACCCTTTAGAAACAAGGGCTAGATGTAGCCTTTTCTAAAATCCTGGGCCTGGTCAGATCACATGACTGCAGTATGTTATAAATATCTGGGGAGATTTTTATGATCCTGATGCCAGCAGGCACCCCAAACCACATCATTCTGACTCTCTAGAGGTGGGCCACAGGTATCTGTAGTTTTTAAATCCCAGTGTGACTCTAATGTGCCCCCGAGGCTGAAAACCATTGTGCAGGGGAACCTGGGCTCAAAGTCTGCTCCAAAAACAATGGCTGTCCAACTTCAGAGAAGGAAGAGAAGCAAGTTAAATATCTCCCCAGTGTTGACTATAGGAAATACAAAATTGTTACTGGACCATTAAAGTCAAATGGTTCCTGGGATATTTGTGGGGAGGGGAGGTGTTATTTTATTTCAGAAAGGATCCTGAGCTTTATTAATAGGAATTCAGGCAATGGGAAGTCTTACTCCTAACAGGTTCTAATTAAATCAGACTCTCTTGTAAGATTGCCCTTTTCCCACCATCTCACATGCAGACCCATGGCCAGTCTTACTTGTGAAAGTGCCTCTAATGGGAAGTGTTTATCGGACTCTTTAGCAGAAGGTCACTGAAATTATTTTATTATCATTTTATTACAGAAGGATTTAACCAAAAGGGGCCAGAGAGGGCACCTGAAATGTTCCCAGTATTTACCAGGCAGAACCCCTTGAGCAAGAGGGACACCTTCAGCTGGAGAAAATCCAACTTGGGCCTGAATTAAAGGCGTGTCTGCATGTGACCTTAGCCCAGGACTAAATGCCGGCTCAGGAAGTCAGCTCAGCTGGCTTGGGGACATTTAAGGTGAGCAGTGACTTAGTTCAAGGCATAACCTGTTCTGTTAAAAGCATTATGAAATGTTCTGTAGCCTCTGCCTTTCAGGACTGACAGTATTCCAAGAATCAGTGGCTAAATGCTGGAGGACAGGAAACGATTCCTACCCCTAGCTCTTCAATATTTGGTCATTCCTTGACCCAGGCGTGAAGATGAGCCCTGTTTTGGTAACCAAGAATTTGTTCTCTATTTTTTCAGTCATCTCTAAATAATGGCAAGGCTCTAAAGCTTTATTAATCACCAAAAGTATTTATTAAGCAGCTACTGGCTTCAGACTGCAGAATGCCTAAAAAGGTTTCGCTTTAATTTCTAGTCACTGCTTATTGAATATATGCCAATTGATTTATTTTTAAGACCGTATCAGAGGACAGATAAAACACAGTCACTAGCCACCACTCATGCATGGGCATCACTAACGTGAAGAGGCCTCCAAATTTCCCTTCACTGTTGTCACCCTGTCACCACCACTTGGAGTTAAAAGCCCACCATAGACCTAGGAACACATTACCATAGCTCTTGTTTAGTGTGAGGAGCCTATCTCATTTTGAGAAATCTCTTTCATATCAAACGATAGATCATGTCTATCATTTGCAGAGATGCAAAACCACTGTTTGTACCAGCAGGCCTACATGAACCGGCACAGAAGCTCCAGTGTACACTGAGCAGTCAGATGATAGCAGCAGCAGGCAAGGTGCTGTGGGAAGGATCTGATGCAGGATAAAAGGCAGAGCTCCTCCATGACAGAGCCATACCAAGTCCATTGACATACTTAACTTTTTTTTGGTTCGGTTTTATTTTTTCATTTTTTATTTTTAGTTGAGGCATAGTTGACATAGTAGTACAACATAGTGATTCAACATTTATACACATTTCAAAATGCCGTTGAGTATAGTTACTGTCACTATACATAGGTATTAAAATATTATCAACTAATTTCCCTATGCTGTACTTTTCATCCTCATGACTTAATTATTTTATAACTGGAAGTTTGTGTCTCTTTATCCCCTTCACCTTTTTTGCCTGTCTCCCCATACCATTCCCCTCTGGCAACCACCAGTTTCTTCTCTGTATTACTCTGAGTTTGTTCATTCATTAGTTTTATTTTTTAGATTCTGCATATAAGTGAAATCATAGACATATGGTATTTGTCTGTCTGATTTATTTCACTTAGCATAATACCCTCTAGATTCGTCCATGTTGTGGCAAATGGCAAGATTCTGTTCTTTTTTATAGCTGAATAATATTCCATTGTGTATATATACCACATTTTCTTTATCCATTCATCTAATTCACAGGAACTTAGATTGCTTCACTGTCTTTGCTATTGTAAATAATGCTGCAATGAACATAAGGGTGCATATCTATTTTCAAATTAGTGTTTTCATTTTCTTTGGGTAAATAGCTAAAGTGGAATTGCTGGATCATATGGCAGTTCTATTTTTAATTTTTTAACCTCCATGCTGTTTTCCATAGTGGCTGAACCATTTTACATGTCCACTAAAAGTGCATGAAGATTCCCTTTCTCCACATCCTCATCAACATTTATAATTTCTTGTCTTGCTGATATTAGCCATTCTCACTGATGTGAGGTGATATGTCATTGTGGTTTTGATTTGCATTTGATTTGCATGAGTGATGTTGACCATCTTTTCATGGCCATCTGTATGTCTTTGGGATAATTTCTATTCAGGTCATCTTTCCATTTTTAAATCAGATTGGTCTTTTGGTGCTGAGTTGTATGAGTTCTTTATATATTTTGGATATTAATCTATTGTCAGATTTATCATTTGAAAATATATTTTCCCATTCTGTAGGTTGCCTTTTCATTTTGTTGATGGTTTGCTTTGCTGTGCAAAAGCTTTTTAACTTTGATGTAGTTCCATTTGTTTGTTTTTGCTTTTGTTACCCTTGCATGGGGAGATATATCCAAAAAAAAAACTGCTAAGGCCCATGTTTTTTTTAGGAGTCTTACAGTTAGGCCTTCTTTAATCCATTTTGAGTTTATTTTTGCTTATGGTATAATCAAATGGGACAGTTTCATTCTTTTGGGTGTATCTGTCCAGTTTTCCCCACACCATTTATTGAAGAGACTGACTTTTCCCCCATTGTATATTCTTGCCTCCTTTGTCATAGATTGACTGACCATATAAGTGTAGGTTTATTTCAGGGCATTCTATTCTGTTCCATTGATCTATGTGTCAATTGATTCACTTTAATCTGACCCTCAGCACAACTTGAGCTGGAATGGGAATCAGTCTAGGCCAGTTAGGGGAGGAAACAGCTTCAGGCCAGATGCCAGAGGGCTGTTCTTTGAGCTGCTATTCACTTGCAGATAATCACGGAGGTAGATCCTGAAGGAAGCACTGCAATAGTTAGACCCCTTTTACTTGCAAGTTACAGATTCTCAACAGAAATCGACCTAAACAAAGAATCTGCTGACTTTCAGGTACAGCAGTGGTTGGATCTAAGTGCTTAAAAGATGTTATGCAGAATGCCTCCACTCTGGTTTCCTCCACAGTGGCTTCATCTTTAGACAGGCCCTCTGTAAGTGATGGCAGTAATAATTGCCAGAAACTCCTAGTTCATGTTTCATAAGCTTAGCATCCAGGGACGGAGAGAACCTGCCAGGTTGAGCTTCATGTGGGGAAATGGTGGGTAAGGAATGGGAAAGGTAGGGCGGGGCCAGTTGCAAGTCTGAAGAGTAGTCTCTGTGTGGGGCAGGAAGGGTGAGTTGGCATTGAAGGGAGAGGAGGAGTCGACAGTGTCAGCAGGAAGCAGGAGAGTATTGATGACTGTGCTGTTTTGGAAAGATAAGGCTTGTGGAGATGTGGAGGGTGGATGGACTGTCAGGGGTGAAGATGGAGGCAGGGAGTTAGTCCCACGGTGGTCGTTGGTAAATGTGATGAGGGCCTGGCTTCCACCCCTCCAGACAGGCTGCTCCAACCCAGCCTCAAAAGCCCATTCATCAACCTGTTCCTCCACTGTTTCTGTTCTTTCTATCTCTTGCTGATTTTCCTGCCTCCACTTTCTGAGTGCATGTCAGATATTTTATTATATTCAAGAAAGTTTTAAACACATAGAGGCTTCACTAAGAGAAGGAATAAAGAAGACCACGAGAAGAGACCACACCTTGCCAAGAGACACACAGGACAGATGGGGGTGATGGAGAGAGAAAGGCAGACCCGAGGAGACAGGGCTTGTTGTCACTAATCAATCACCAAGCCAACTGAGCTGGCATCTCAGCTTCACCATTCACTGGCTGTGCGATCACAGGCAAGTTACCTCTCTCAGACTCGGTATTTCTCATCTGTAAAATAGAGATAATAATTAAACTCCCCTCAGGGGCTTATTATGAGAATTATGTTAATAATGTATATAAAGTGCCTGACAATACATATCATTATTATTATTTGCATCCGGGAACAACATAAGGAGCCCTCTGGTGGAACTCACCTAGATTTCCTCCGAAAGCTGAAAATTCCTACATGAAAAGGAGGCCTTTGGAAATGAAGTTAAGCTCTTCTCCAAGGGTGCTTAGGCTGAGCCGAGCTGAACACACTCTGGTCTCTCCTGAAAGATGCCAACCACTAGAGGGAGAGTGGACTTCCAGAAACCACAGCCTCGTAGTTCCAGCGTCCTTCACACTGCAGGTAGCCACACATTTGTGGGTGTGATATCAAGTTGCTGGAACCCAACTGACATCTTTCTCAATGCAATAGAATAAAATAGAAATAGCATTAAGTGCATAAAGCCCTTTGTTTTAGTCACATGATTATATATTCATGTGTAAAATGTAGTCCTTACTGTGGGTCATGGTTAACCGCCAAGAGTTTGAAAACCATTAACTTAAAGGTCATGCAGGAGCAAACTACCTATTTTCTTCAATTCTCAGACAGACACCAGACAGCTTACATTCAGGTGAGTCATTGTTCTGTATTAAAGAAGAATCGGATACAGGAGTGGAAGATGACATTTAACTCATGGTGCCCCATGTTGTCAGGCATTTGTCTGATTTCCCAGGTGCTCTTCCTCTGCTGTCTACTTCTATAAGCACCGTCAAGGTCTCCTTGGGCCTTCTTTTTCTGTGGCCTGTAAATGACCTGCACAGCTCTCTTTCTGGTGATGCCATCTGCTCCCAATGTTTCCCTAGTTCCTCTCTGTGGCTGAATCCTCAGTTACAACTTCAACTCTTACCTCCAGATATGTATTTCCAAACGATGGCTGCAATTCTCTCCATAGCTGTCCCATAGGCCTCAAATTCAGCCCATCTGAAGCTTAATGTATCATCTTCCCTTTTAAAAAGAAAAGTAAAAAGCTCTTCCTATACCCCTTTGCTTGGCCCCTGTCTTAGTCTGCTCAGGGTGTTATAACAAAATACCACAGACAGGGTAAACCACAGAAATACATTTCTCATAGTTCTGGAGGCAAAAAGCCCAAGGTCACCAACATAGATGGGTGAGGCCCCTTCTAGGTGTCAGGCTTCTGTTGTGGCCTCACGTGGCAGAAGGGGTGAGGGAGCTCTGAGGGGTCTTGTATAAGACAGTAATCCCAGTCATGAGGTTCCATGCTTGTCCCTAATCACCTCTCAAAGGCCCCACCTCCTAACACCATCAGTTTGGAGGGTCAGGACTTCAGCATATAAATCTTCAGGGAGGACACATTCAGACCAGAGCAGCCCCTCTTGCCTCTCGGGGGCCCAGGTGAGAATCTCAGTTATTGTCATTTCTTCTTTCCCTGTCTGTCATGACCTCTTCTATCTCCCCAGTGCCTTAACTGTGCAACCCCCTCTCTCCTTCCCACCCACACTGTACCAGGTGATTTGTGTAGTCTTCTACTGGCCTCTCTGTTTCCAGGATCTCACCTTCCCCATGCATGCTTCCCATGGCCACCGCCTACCTTACACAAACACAGGTTCAGTCATCATTCACTCATATCATCCTGATTCTTTAAAACATGCATTAACTCCCCCCAAAAACAACCAAATAAAATACAAATATGTAGGCATGGGGTTTAAGGCCTAAGCAAGGAAGTACAAACGGTTTTATGTCAAGTGCCAACCCCAACAGATCAGTGGTGACTTTTTGGAGAATTGTGTTGAGAAGGATTCTGAGGCTTCATACAAACTCACAAGAAACCTTAGCAATGGGCATAGGCGGGAGACACAGACATCTTCTTGGAGGCTCAATCCATCCATTTTCTGCTTTTTTCATACTCTAGTACCACCTGCTCAGTCACAAGATTGCTCATTAATGCCCAAATATACTACACAATTTTATTAACCACAGAGACTATCTATTTCATGATTCCTTTCTTTTGCTGTCTGGACTGCACCTGACTAAACTTTTCCACCTATTAGAATCCTCATCTTACTCCTCCAATACTCAGCCTTCACAGTTTGTAACTCATCTCTTCGTTAAACATATATCAGCCTCCTTTGTATTGTAAGTATTACATATGTATAGATGTATTATGTGTTTATGTGTGTAGATATATCTGCACACATATTTGTGCCTCTCACACTGGACAATAAACTCTTCGAAGGCAGTGAATGTATCTTACTCATGGTCCAACCCCTAGATTCCACCCAGTAACTTACACATAGCAAGTGTTCAATTGAAGTCCCTAATATGAATGAACTATATAGGATGAATGAATTTATGGAATGAATGAAGGAGCATAATGGCATGTTGACTTAGAAAAAAAAAAGTCACAGGGAATCTCCAGGAACTAAAATCATCTCAGAAGTAAAGACACTCTTGTAGGACTCTGCCAGTTGCCAGCAGTGACTAAGAGCCACCAGACAGCATCCCCCCAACTATGAATTAGGTGATACAGCTGTGAATTCAAGAGAAGAACCTCTCTCATCCCTGCAGCGTCATAGCATTCGATACTTACAAATGACTCTGCAAGTACACAATACACCTATGCTCTTTACACCTACTGAGTTTGAGAAGACATGACTTGCCCAGAATCCTATGTACACCCATGAGTAGGAGACTCAAACCCATGGCTCGCACTTGATAACCATTGCTCCACGGCTCACACAAAGTTGTGCTCTTGTGCTTCACCACCTAGATTTTAGGGTAAAGAAAGGAATCCACTGCTAAAATAAGTTGGAAAACTACAGTTGCTACCTTTCCTATAAAGTTCATACCATCGGACCCTATAAGTAGACCCCCTAAACCTTTTATCTACGTGCCCCTAAACTGGAGACTTTTGACTGGAGACAACCCTATGACTAGGCAAAAATTGTTTTTGAAGAGAAATTTCAAACCACCTTACCAAGCATCGGCAGCTTCTCCAGCTGATGATTTATATGGAGGCCAACCACCCAAAGCCCTCACTATCAATTCTCAGGAATTTCAGCAAATCCAGGAACACTATTTGTAATATGATAGCCTGAACAACTGAAAGAGAACTCACAGGCACTGGGGGGTCTTCCTTTCTCTACAGGAAAATAGCTTTTGTTGTCTTTTTCCTTTGAATATGTGGCAGGAAAACAAGAAAAGAAAAAAACGAAGAGAGTGACAGACTAGATAATATCCAAAATCAAAGCCGGAGTCCTGACAGAGAAAGGGCATTACCAGCATTTGCTCTTTCAAGAACTGTAATGCCTGGGATTTCTAATTTTAAACAGTGAAAATCAAAAGATCTGGGCCAAAACGCGAGAACACAACAATTTCAACGATTTGAGGGTTATCTTCCCCGTCTTTTCCCCTCTGTGTCTGTGTGATTCCTTAAACAAAGTGGGTTGGAAAAGTTCAAGCTCAGTTCACAGAAGAGAACATTCTGTACTGTGCACAACAGGCTGGGCTGCTCTCTGTAAAACAAAATCAACAGCATGATCTCAGCCGCTGCGGCGGCAGGCACCGCGCCGCCAGCCCACGGCCCCGGCGCTTGCAGAGACCGGCTGTCAAAGGCGCCCTGTGGCCAGCGCGCCCGGGAGGCGGCCGCGCGCACGCGCGCGCGCGGCCCCAGGAATGACTTTGTGTCCATTTGCTACTTCTCCCCAGAGGGTCAAGGAAGTTGTTGGGATATTTCTCTTTGGAGAGTATTTACAGATGAACCATTTCCAAGAAAACACCCCCCTGCATGTTCACCTCAGCTCAGGCATTGATGGGAGCTCTTCGATTTGTTCGGTTGTCACTGTAATCAAACGACGGCATTAGCACTAAATACGGTGCCACTTCCCTGCTAAGTGGGGAGGAGGAGGGAAAGGGGAGGGGCGAGGCTTGCTGCCCCCTCCCCCACCCTCTGAGCTCTTCACTTCTGGATCCCAGCCTTCGGTTCTTTTGTCTAGAATTCAGCATGCGGTTCAATAAATATTTATTGAGCGTGTATTTGGTGCCAGGGACTGTCCGTAGAATAATACCCATAACATGATTTTTCTAGTCAAATGAAAACCTAGCCGTGAAGCCGGTCAGAAGAGGAAGAAGAGAAGCTGCGTGTGCCAACACACAGAAGGCAGAGCTGGAAGGGCGGGTGTCCTCCAGGGCCGCTCGAGCCTAGGAGGAGAAGGCCTAGAACGGGGGTGGCTGTTCTTAAGTTTGGCAAAGCAGACGTCTGGAAGGGGGCTGCTTCCCCAGAGTTCTTTTCATGCCGAACGCATGCCTGTTTGCTGAGGGAGGAAATGACATAAAGAAGGCACAGCTTGCTGCAACAGGGCTGTAGAAGTGCTCCCTCTGGCCTCCTTTGAAGTCACTCCTGCCAGTGCTGTTTCAGGGTGCGGAGACCAGCAGGGGAGAGGGGCAGTGTGGAGAAATGGAAGACGGAAACGCAGGGGCACAGGGCAAGTGAGGGCCTTTAAATCCAGGTTTAGTGTCTGGGTGACCTCAGTCCCTATGCCCCCCAGCTATTGGAGAGAGAACTACCTGTTTTGTAGAACTACTGACTATTGTGGAATTTAAGGAATATAATAAATGCCTTTGCTTGGCATAGACTAGGTATTTAATAAATAGTAACCATTGTTATTAATGTAAGTACTGTTCAGAGAAAGCTGTTGACTGGGGTGTCAGTTAAGAACCTCCACCAGTGTGCCCTGTCTAAGGTGTTGCCCACACGTTTCCACCACTTAGTGACTTAGTGAATGGCTATTGAGTGCCAGCACTGTGCTCTGTGGGAGGCACTGCTCCGAGAAACAAAGGCTGTGTTCTCAGGAGGCCTCCTCACCTTTCCAGGGAGGGAGGTTCACTCCAGGCAAAGGTAGAGCCATGGGGCTTGGCGAATGCTTCCTCACAGCCTACCTTCTTTGGGGTGAGGCTCCTTTCTTGTTGGTCGGAGCCCATCTCTTTGGCTGTCACAGCCATCCCAGAGAGAAGGGGGTCGCTGGGGAGCAGGGCTTGGTTGGGAACAGCCCTGATGCAGGACCTTTCTCGGACTGCTCTTCCTCAGTGTGAACACCCTTTCAGGACCAGAGCTCCTGCCAAGACTTAGAAAACAAGTTACACAAGCACCTCTGGGGTAGTCGGACATGTCACCTCACAGCTGCTGCTACACAGGGAGGTGAGGAGGTGGGTGGGGGAGAGGTGACCTCAAGGACTCAGTCAGGGACAATACATAAACCTGTGAGCATAAGGGTCATGGGGCTAGGAGTTCAAGAAAGCACAAGCCCTGGGGCACCATGCCAAGCCCCAGCCTGTGGAAAGAGCCAGTCATTGAAGATAATTCTACAGATTTTCCTGTTGCCATCACTGATATGGTCCCAGGATTCAAAGGAAGGATCATCTGCCATTAAAGCCAGGGCCCAGGCCAAATGGGGCTTCCTTGGAAATGTTCACCATGATATCTTAAAATTTTTCTCCCCCATACGGTTCACTTCCCTGCCTATACCCAATTTACCAAGGGACCTGTTTAAAAAATTTTGGCAGCAGACGGCCTGTCTCAGAAATACTTCTCTTCCATTGGAATCCTTTGCCAAAGGCTACTACCAACCCCAGCCAGCTGCATATGGAATTTCTCAGAAAGCCAGAGTGTGCATGGGACAGTAAAAGCAAAACCCTGATGATCTGAGGTAGAACAAGCTAAATAAATCCCAGGAGTAGGCAAGTAACCAAGATCTCAGAGAGAGTAAATGAAGGGAAGTAGTTCCCACAGAATTAAGCAAAAATAATACCAACCCACAAATATTTGATGGGAACAGATGCTGAGAGTGACATTTCTTGACTATTCATTACTTGTCAGGGTGCTTTACATACATTCTCTAGTTTAATCCCCACAATAAACCCGTATAGTAGGTAGTGATGTTAACCCAGACTCGAAGAGCTTAAATAACTGGCCAGATGTCAGGTAGCCAAGTACGTGGCAGAGCTGGCCCTTGAACCCAGGGCTGTCCAGCTTGAGAGCTCAGGTTCCTTTCATTACACCATTCTGCCTCTCTGCATGCAAAGATCTTATTACAATACTTTTGGAATCACCTTGTACATTTATTTTGGATTTTCAGAGGCTGAAGTCTCAAGTGGAAGTCCTGACACCAAGTCCCGCTCTCCAGTCCCATATATTTTGCCTTATCTCAGTATCTGTACCCAGTCAGTAATAGTTATTGAACATCCATGAGCTATTCTCTGGGGGACAGAAAGGTGAGTTGTGCCAAATAACACATTTACTTATTTACTTCTGTTGTTAGTCAAATAGCCTCCGAATTTAAATGGTGTAACACAACAAAGATTTACTTCTTGCGCACACCATGTACTCACTGGGAAACAGCTGGGTCCTCACTCAGGGACCTAGACTGAGGGACAAGCCACCAGATAGCTTGAATATTGCCAGTCACCATGTCAGAGGGAAAGAGAGCATGATCAGTCACTCACCAGCTCTTAACGCTTCTTCCTCTGAAAGCTTTTTCCCCAAAGGGGCTTGTGTCAGTTCTGCTTACATGTCATTGGCCAAGTCAAACTAAGTAGCCACTCATAACTTCAAGGGGTTAGATAAGCACAAGCCCATCACAAGTCTGAAAGTGGGTGAAAACCTGACACATTTGGTAAATAGACCTAATAATGACTACATCCTGGGAAGAAGAATGACCTCAAAACCTCCTATCTCAAATACTGTAGTACTGAATGATTAAGGGCCATCTGAGAGGTTGCATTCAAGGCTTATGTCCTAAGGATTCAAGACAGAATTATGCCTGACTGGAGACCTTGACAAAGTACCCTGAGGAAGTGAAGGCCTGCATTGGCCTTGAAGAGTGGGAAGGACTTGGACAGACCAACAAGGCTGGACCAGCTGCATCCACGCTGGCCTTCAGTAGAGTGATGGTAACCCACCACCAGTCACTCTAATGAATGGCATAGGTTATTCCAGGTCTTGAAAGACAACCCAAATGAATGCCTGAAGTCAAGAATGTGCTTCGTGGGCTTCAGGGGAGAGGCCCCATAGCTGGGCAGTGTGCTCCAGCCAAGGAGAATTGGCAGTTGGCCAAAGCATTAGTTGCGAAGGTATGAAAGATCTTTGAAGAGGAGAAAAATTATGATCACAGTGGAACTTGAGAGACTTTAATCTGTGGCTATTCTGTAGTTTATTTCTTCTTTCATTTTATGAATATTTTAAATACTTTGCTTAGGAGATGCAAAGGTGTATAAAGCTTGACTCCTACCCTCAAGTTGTTCCAGACTTTAGTGGAAGAAGAAATGGGTCTGTGTTTTCACCCTTGCCTTTTAAGAAGCAGTGATCTCAAAGAGATACTTTCTTTGGTGAATAGGACCTAAAATTTCAAGGATGCATAGGATTTCAAGGATTTCTCCTTTATGAAAAAGAAAGAGCTAAGTTGTTAAAGAGATGTGGGGTAGTGGTGATGAATCCCAGAGTAGGAGGAGGGCAGAGGAGAGTGGAGAATGCAGGACACAGAGGAGATAAGGCAGCTGGTAATGATAGAAAAGGCTTTTGGGGAGATGGAGATTTTTAGTGGGTTTTTTTATGAAGTTTGGCCATATGGAGTATAAGCCTTCCACTTGTCTGTCTTGCAAACATTTCAGTAAAACATATATATAGCACACAATGTTTTGGGAGGTGGCTTGAGAGACCACAAGGGGTCAGGTGGGTAGCAATGAAGTGTTGGATGTGGCCTGACAGCACACAAGGGTGCGAGCAGGGACTTCCCAAGAGAGCCCAGCGCAGTCACATTTGTAGTATGGGATAAAGTGGCAGTTCTAGGATTGGGAAAGTTTGTCAAGAAAAGCTGCATAAAGGAGATTAAAAGTAATGCTGGTACCAGGTGTTGAAATATCAGTGTCCCCAGCCCACACAGATCAATGGAAA